TGAGAAATATTAGCAAGGAAGACTGAAGTCATAATTGTTGAAGATATCTTGTCACTTGACTGTGCTAATGATTCCTATGCAAAGAAAATCATGAAAAAGAGCTCAATAACCATTGAAACTTATCCAACTAAAGCACATTAACCATCCACTTCACCTATGCATATTATTCATTCCGAATTCATTCAATCAATTTGAAACGCGATCAGAGAGCTGTTAAAATAGTTTTGGCTGCTGCGGCAATTTCGATTTTGTATTCACAATTTGATAAACAATAATTTGTAATTATTTTCGCATTATCGATTGCATTTCCTTCGATGCTGCTCAGCGTGTGCGAAGCCAAAGTTTTGTGCTGAGCAAACTGTCGCTGGCAAACAGAGCCGGAGTTTGCATATTGCGCATACGCCATGTGCGGCTTGCAATATGCGCTGGCATTTAATTGACAACTGTTGCTGTCTGATTGCATTTTGATTGTTGCATGACAGATATTCGCATAAATTTCAATGCGATGAGCGCCAGCTGAATAGCAATTACCGCGACAACATGACAGAGTCGCTGCCTTCCTGTTACCCTCTCCTGTTATAACTCCTACTCCGGCTCCTGCTCCTGCTCCTGCTCCTGCTCCTGCACTCTCTCGCCCACTGCGGCGGTTGTCATGTAGCGAACTTCATTTCGCTGCGTTGATAAATCTAATAAGTGTCGCGGCCGTCATGCGATATTAAGCTACGCCGGCACGCCCACTCAAACGCCCACGCGGCATACCTTTAAGGTTGACTCGCTGCGAAAAGTTATCAAAAGTTGTTTGGCGGCTAAAGTTTCACTTAAATTTCAACACTAAATTGTTTTTCCTTTTTTTCTGTTCTTTTCTTTTCCGTTGGCTGCGCTGCCAACGCACACCTATGCAACAATGCACAATGCAAGTTTTTATTATTGTATTAGCGGAAGTTTTTTACGCTTTTACTTAACTTGGCCCGCCAGCTCCGCCCCTTAAACTATCCATGGCTTGCAGGAGCATAGGAGCAGACTTAAGCGATATATCCCAACCAGATCATATCGTAATGTGAGCCCATTCACACCTGAATCAGCAGCCATTCAATTGGCACTGCAACAATTTTATTTCGATTCTCAATTATAATTTTTACCGTTGCCCAGCAACTAAAACTTAAGCCCGAGGCAAAGCGAGCGCAGTTTAGTAATTTCCATTAATTCAGTGTGCAGCTCAGCTGAAACGTAAATGAACAAAGTAACTTGCCGCCAGGCACGACTGAGAGGGAGGCAGCATAAGTTTGCCATTGATAAAATGTGCTAAGTCAAAGCAAGCAAAGAATGAAAGAGAGAGAGAGAGAGAGTGAGAGATAGGGAGAGAGAGCAGAAGAAGCCGAGTGAGAGATGTAGGGTCTATCAGCGGCATCGGGTGTTGATTGTGCTAAATAACTGCACAACAATGGCGCCTAAGTACGTTGATAGAAAAGTAATGAAAGGCAGTCGAGTCAGCAGTGGAAGGCAGCAGCAGGAGTAGCAGGAGTAGCAGGAGTCGAGTGGAGTGAAGTGGGATTAGGAGCTGGAGGCTGGCTGATTGGTAGCGCCAACAAAGGCTAATTCGAGCGCTATGGCTGACTGGCTGCACTAGCACACAATAATTGGTAAAAGTCGAAAGGAATGAAAGAAAAGAAAGGCAGCACAACAAAAACAACAACAACAGCAACAACAGCAGCAACGAGCAACACGAGCGAAAATCGAAAAACAAAAGACGAAAATTGTGTAAAGTGGTTTTATGGAGCAACAAAATAGAAAAATGGGATTTACCACACACACACACACACAGACACGTATATACAGCGAGATATGCTCACATACAGCTTGGCACTTGGATTGTGGCTAAGAAGCGAACGCCTTAAGGTTAAAGTAAAGATTGCAGCAGCGGCTCAAATGGATTTACGTGTTGCGAATTTTAATTAAACGATAAAAAAGGCCAGCAGACATTGGCCACCCCGAAAATGGGGCCAACTCGGGCTTGCCAATGGATGACCACGCGCACTGCGTGTGCTTAGCAGCAAGAATTTATGGGGCCAGTCGTGAAGCTCTGCCGCTGCTGCATCATTTGGCCCAACCAGAGACTGACTTTTTGCTATTCATTGCGCCAGCCGGTGTAAAATTTAATTTACGAGCTTGTATTTTCAATATGCCCAGCAGCAGCAGGCTCAACTGCCCGCCCAGCTCCAGCTCCAGCTCCATCTGCATCAGCATCAGCGTCTCCTTCTACATCTACATCTCTGGCCTGGTCAGTGGCTCTTAAAAGTGATTAACATTAAATCATAGACAAGGCACGGCCATATCTTTGCCGAGCCACCTGACCACAAACACACACACACACAAACACACACACACAGTTCCGCCGGCAAACAATTACATTTTGTGCACGCGCCCTTGATTCATTTTCACGCACGTACGACTTTTCGCACACCATTTTCACCTTGCGGCCTAGACACAAACACAAAAAAGAAAGAAGAAGAAGAAGAAAAAAAAAGAACACCAAACCAGAAGCTGAAAATGAAAATAAAAGGCAAAAGCATTTACAGCTACGCATTTTGTTTGCTAATTTCACAGCGACGGCTTATCAACGAGCCGCCATTAGCTCCCCAATTGACACCGAGCGGGCGGAGGAGCTGGAGGAGGAGCAGCAGGAGTTGGAGCACCAGCTACTTGTGGTTCACATGGAGTCGGGCATCTCGAACTTTTAGCAATTTGTTTGATTTTGTGCTTATTGGACGCTGTGTTTTGCATAAGCAATAAACATAAATTATCGCCAGCGTCCAGCGAGGCTGCTGACATTTATTTATGCCCATAACTCATTGAAATCGAGCACTTGATTTAACGACTCTATGTGTGAGAGAGAGAGTTAGGGAGAGAGAGAGGGCTATAGCACAGCTTGACTCTCGATATATGCCATAAATTATCGAAATACCCTTTTTTTTTTTTTGGGACCCTCTAGTTGTAATGAATCAACAATATAATTAGAATCAGCTCATTTATCTCTGTAATTTCCATTGCCGCTGCCCCAGCCCGCCCAATTATCAGATGCTTTAGTCCTATTACACGGCCATGCCATTTACTCTGGGCTGATGGCATGTCGGATTCTTTGATTAGTTTCCATTTTCTTGCAGCTCGCTTTTCGTGCCACTTGTTGATTACTTTTAAATGAGTTCTGCTTTGGGGCGTTTCTTAGCCGGGCGCGTTGATTGATATTTACGCGCGTTTGATTGAAGTGTAATCAGCGGCAGTGTGGCGTGTGGGTATTAGCAGCAAAATGGAATGTAAGTGAGCAAATCGTAATTAAAATTGCGCCAAGCGAAAGAAACAACGCAACAAATGACGCTTCAAGGCACACACAATATGCATTAGAGAGGGTCAAAGTACTCAAATGGCTGTGACAAGGACTCGCTAGTCCGACTTCAATACCAGCTGCTGCCTGCCTGGCTGCCTGACTGATGGCAATGACGTTGCTGGCGCTGCTAATGAAAATGGTTGCATAAACAAGCGCAGCAAGCACATAATGAACAGCAGCAGCAGCAGGAGCAGGAGCTAGAGCAGGAGCAGGAGCAGCGTCTGTTCCAACAAAAGATGAAAGCCGCGTTTGCCACTCATAAATATGTACGCTGACAAATAGGAGGCAACACACAGAAATACAGCAAGTGAGAGAGAGAGAGAGAGAGAGGGAGGGAGACAGGAAGGGAGAGTGAGAGAGAGAGAGAGACAAATGGGTAAAACAGAACTGGCAAGCACTCGTGTGTGCCTCGATAGACAAAGCGCCCTTTGGGCACAGTTTGTCAGTTGGACTGCCATTCAGACTTCGCCCGGGCGCCTGGGCGTAAATCAAAGTGAAAAGCGTGCTAATTGCATTAAAAGCATATAAACAAAATGCAATGCAAGTGGCTGTGATAATATATATATATATAGTATATAGAGTATATACACAAAAAAAAAAAACAAAAAAGAAAACAAAAACAAAAATGAAAAAAAATACAAAAATAAAATGACAGCAAAGCAAAGCAAAGCCTGCGCTGCTACTCCACATTATGCTGGGCCAGCTTTGGCTGATGTCCTTTTGTGCATATGCGCTCTGTGAAATTAAGCAAATAAGCACGAGCTCATGCCGGAATCCGTGCTGGCGCCTCAGCGCTTTCATAATTTTTAATTGCTACAACGACTTTAAATGTGTCTGCTCGAGGCATTCAATTCGAGGTAATTCTGTTTAATCTGCGCCAAGCATATTCAAGTGCTTGCAGCGAGGAGCAGGACCGAGTAGTGGAGCAATCGGCCTAGTAACTATCTGAATATAGTCATACCGCAAATGAGATGCTACGCTAGATAAGGCAAAGGTCAAAGGTCCTGTACGCATTAAGCGCTTTAGCCTTTGAGCAAATGACAGATAGGCTGCACACCATTGGGAGGACCCCAGCTCTCCTGTGTGCCAACCAACCAACCACGACCGCATAGTCGAAATTCAATCATACAATCCGTTGAAATACGACACGTAATCAAATGTTGCAAGAGTATGCCACACGCAGCCCGCCCCACTCCGGCGCTGCTAAGTACATTTTTTCCCAGTCGCCCACAGCGCATAAGTCAAAATAAATGTGCCGCATTAAGAGGGACAGCAAAAAAATGAAAAAAAATAAAAAGAGAAAAGAAAAGAAAATAAGTTGCGCTGCGACAGGGTCGGCGCATAGCCAGCAAATCCGACAAGTAAATATAATAACAATAAAATGAAGGCGAGATATTATGGCAATGGCTGCAACAATAAAGCGGCGGCAAGGACGTTCGCTGACAATGATAATTCCAGTTCGTTTCAGCTGCAGGTATGTATGAAAAGCATTGCCTACTTTTAAGGGCAAATATATATTGTAGCTATGCAGAAAATATTGCCTACTTTCGAGCGCAATGCTTAAATGAAGCTATGCAAAAAAGATTGCCTACTTTCGAGCGCAATGACATTCAACACGGATTTTCAATGCATTTTATTTGTTAAAGACTTAATAACATTCATTATTACATAATAATTTACACAGCTAAACACTTGAGAGACTTAACCTAATCAAGTTCTTAACATATTTTGCTAAATATTTTGCATATTTTGCCTTAGCTTAAACATTTAACAGTTTTGCATGCAAGACATGCACATGTTTGTGTATTTCATATGTATGCGTGTGTGTGTTTGTGTGAAACATTAAATATTACTTTGAAGAAGAGAAAAATAACTGTACAATATAAATGCCTACTTTTCAATTAGCTTACTCTGTGGAAATGTACAGTTGCTCGACTTGCAGCTAAAAATCTTTCTTTTATTTTATTTTTATTATGTTCTGATATATTTTTGTTTTTCAAATATTTTATTGAATGCTGCCTATTAATCTTGAGTTACTTATTCTTACTTGCTTTTTGCTCTATTTCAGCTTTGTAGCTCTTAGCATCATAACATTAGTTACAACAATTATGCGTTTCGATCTCTACCCATACAATATCATTTATGTTTTCTTTATTTTTTATGACTTTTATTTGCCGTAAGCATCGAACGTGAAGACTCTATTTGTAGTACATTCTGTGCTATATATTCTCCGATTTGCTTTAACAGATTTTTTTTCTTAGCTTATGCTTAGGTCTAGGCTTTTACGGGTTTGGCTAATTAAGTAGTCGCATACATACATATTATTTTTCATTATTTTTATTTTTTATAGAATTTGTCCACTCATTTTTTGCGTAACAACGTTGAGCAATTTCTTTCTACCGGCACTAAGGAACTAGGAATTGCCAGAGCTAGTTCGCTTTCACACTCTCTCGAAATATATGTACGTATATATACATACGAAATATATGTACGTATGTATATGTATGTTTAACTGTCCTTTATGTATGTACAGTAGCTAAGCAGCTGCAAAATTTGATTTACCGCACGGCGAACGCGGCGTATACTTGATGTGTTTATTTTGTGCGCGCGTGTGTGTATGTGCGTTTGTGTGTGTGTGTGTGTGTAGGGTCTGTTTTCTGTTTTGTGCATTTGCGTAGTTGAAATATTTACACAGATTTAATGAGTTTGGCCGGGGCTGCGCGGCCAGCCCGGCCCGGGCAGGTGTCATACATCTTCGTTAATTGTTATCTGCACGGCGTGGATACGCTTAATTGGACCAACAGGCGGCGGTCATGTTGGCAGCAGCTGCTCTTGTTACTGCTGCCGCGGCCGAGGCCGTCGGCGGCATTACACAGGAATGCTATTAAGACGGGCAGCGCGTACAGCGCAATGCGTGCAATGGATTTGAACGCTAATATCCGGGAGCAGCCCAGCCAGACGGACACACGCGTCGCCGATGAGGCCGCAGCGGCGACCGAGGTGGCTGCCGCAGGTCGTCGACTCTTCTTCAGCTGCTTCTCTGCTTTAGGGGACGACAATGAGAGAGAGAGAGAGAGAGAGAGTGGGAAGAGAGACAGAGAGTGGGAGGGTAAATAGAGTTGATTCACTGTTGACAACTGTTGCACGCTGCGTATGATTGATGATGCGTTCGACTACTCACCTTCCAGTGACTTGTCCAGCTGCCGCACCGTCTCCCTGGACTCCAGCACAGGTATACGCTGATGCTTATCGCTCTCGACGCTCTCCTCGTTGCTCTGCCAGTAGACGGACGAGATTTTGGCGACACACTGCAATGAGAGAGAGTGCGGCTGCTATTTACTGACTCATGAAATCTCTGCCCCGAACCAAATGTGCCCCAGCGTTGACGGCGCACACTAAAAGTTTTATGCTTTCATTAACTGTGGCACTCGCACACACACACACACGCGTACACACACATGTACACAAGATGAGCTCTGATAAACCAAAAATGACCCGCAATATGCAAACGGCCACAGCAGAGAGCGAGCCGGTCAGTAGTCGCCTCATAAAAGTCGTGCATGAAATTTTGTGGCCTTTACGACGCACACACATATACACTTATATATATATATATATGTGTGTGTGTGTCTGTGTGTGCACTCGCCCTCGCCAGATAGTAATCAACATGCGCTGTCGTGTAATGTAGCCGCAAATTGAATCAAAATGTTGGCGCCGCCATTTGGCGCTGGGCTATGGGCAACGTAATGTATCAATTTCGAGGCCGTAATCAGCTTAAAGCCCGATCCGGGCGGCCCCATAACTCACCTTCAACTTCATGTCGCCGTGCTTGAAATGTCATCCGCGCACACGAAACTCCAGGCCGAGGCGCGCCACCTCGAGACCCTCGCGCCCCACCACCAGCGGCTCGTACGGGCGCAACAGCGAGCGGTTCGCGTGCATGCCGTTAATCAGCCAACTGAGATGGCACACGGGCTTCGACGGCGCCGAAGTGCAATTGACGCGCACCACATCGCCAATTTGGTATCGGGGCTGACCGCCAGTGATTTGTGGTCCATGCTTGGGCGTCACTGCAAATGGAAAATAAGTGCACAATGTACTCTTGCTCGCATCGATTAGCCAATAATATGAGCCGCACTCGCGGCTGGCCTGGTTAAAGCTACTTGCCACACATTGACCTCTATAGCATGCAAACTATTTTGAATAACTTTTTATGCATACATTTTATTGTATCTCTCTCTCTCTCACTCTCGATTTATATTTATTCTAAACCTCTACTTTTGACAGGTATTTAATTTCTTGACTTTTATCAACAATTATCGATGTTTTTTAAATAACTATCGTTGATTATCGCTGGCTCGCAGTATCGAAAGTTTTCCTCCAATTATTGAATTAATGAATTAAAATTGATATAAAATATTAAATTAATTAAATAAAAATTTATATAAATTATTAAAATAATTAATTAATTGACATAAATGTGTTCGATTTTCCAATTATTAAATAAATTAATTAATTATTGATATTAATTATTACATTAAAAAATTGATTAATTGATATAAATTAATTATATATATCAATATTCTCATTCCCCAAAGCTTGATGGGATATACACTCCATTAGCTCCCGCTCCCCCTCGCGGCACTGGTGCTTCGCTCTCCATTCCTATTTTTAAGAGAATTCAATTTACAAGTAGATCTCAATTATTCTTTTGTTTTCTCTCAAAATAATTAAGGATCGATTAAAAAATCGTACAAAATATCTCAAGAGCTTAATGTTATCATAATAAATCAGTATCTCCCTTGATCTGTAGGTAGATCATCCGCATTTCTACACAATAAATAAGCTATATATGCATAACTTTTCAAGTCATAAAATCAAGCATTTCGTTTATTGAAATTAAATTAAATTAAAGCACAGATCACACATTTGGCCACTCACATAGTGCAAGCTACAACAATTGCCAAAAATATGTTTTGCTTTTTTGCTCTCTGCTTATTGTGTCTAACTCGAAGCTGGAAGTATGCCAAGTGGGTCACTCAACCGCTGGACAGACACGAGAGCCAGCCAAGCGATGCAGTTTAAGTTGAACTGCAGCAAGGTGACACAAGCATACACAAACACACACACACAGGCACACAAATACCTACACAATCGAATTATAATCTTTTTGCAGCTTCTCTCTCTTTCTCAGTTCTCTCACATTTCTTAAAAATATCTTTGCCTTGTGCTTTTGCAGCTGGCATTGCGCTTCCGTTGCGCCCTAATAATGATAATAATACTCATAACAATAATAATAATAAAAATAATCCTGATTGCTCTTGTATTAAATTTGCCTCGCGCGACCGCCCGCAGCGAAAGTCCCATAATGAATGCAAGACCTTGTGCCGAGACAAAAATAAAATCAAATCAAATAAACTGAGGAAAACGCGAAAGCGAAAAGGAATTAAATGAAATGAAAAGAAATAAAGGAAACGAAACGAATATTTTGTGCATGTTCTCTCTGTGTATGCTTCCTTGCTGCATTGCTTTACTATTTTGTTGTCTTCTCTCTTTGCCTTTTTTTCTATCTCCCGCTCCATTCAGCTGCATAAATTATTATTTTCAGTCTTTTATGTGCGGCGACATTGATTGAGCTGTTGCTGCTGTCTTTTATTATGATTTCGCAACACACTTTCTTTTGTTCAGCAAACGAAACCCTTTTCGGCTGGCCATTTGTTTGGGTTGCTTGTTTCAATTGCCTCTAATTGTTTGACCATTTCTCGTTTATTATTCAAACTGCTTGAAGAATGTTCGCAGTTGTTCGAGCTTTTGTTTGCTAATCCTCACAAAACCTTTGTGTGTGTGTCTGGCCCAATACTGATACATCAATCTGTCAGCGGACTCTCGGTCTGCAGCTTATGATAATCTAATTAACTGTGCAATGCTAGTTTTGCTCAGTCGACGATATTTTCCGTTTCTGTTTTCAATTTCCGCGCCTGCACTTCAATTATCCCCGCTGAAGCTATCAGCGCAGCCATCTGAGCCCGCTAACTGGGTCAACTGTATTCCGCCTCGTCATTTAGCTCTCTGCGCCAGTAATCACATTCAATTATTTCCGTACACCCACACACACACACACGCACACATACACGTACATACACCCACGTTAGCCTTCATATACGGCTGCATTAATTTCAATATTCCGGCAATTTAAATCATTTGATATTTTTTCTCTGCCTGCTCGTTTTTTTTTTTTTTTTTTTTTTTTTTTTTAGGCTGCTGCCATTAACAGGTGATTCATTAACTTTATAGATCTGCTGCACTCGTAACGCAGTCGATTTAATCCGCTTAGAGTTGAGCCGGGACGCGCGGGCCAATTGCGATTCAGATCGCTTGGCAAACATTAAAGTCAAGTAATAACGTAATTCCCCCAGCAAAGCGGAAGCGTACAGCTCTGATTGCCCCATACCCCTCAGACTCCGCACACACACACACATACATATATATATATACATTTATATGTTGCCAGTTAGTTAGTTGGGCTAATTATGCGATATACACGGTTTGATAGCTCGCTCCCACCTTACGGAAATGAATACAAAATTGCCTGGGGACCAGCAATTGAGGCCCAATGCTGATGTCAATCATAATCATAATGATGTTGGCCGCCTTCTCCTCCCACTGCCACTCCCCCTTCTGCCCACACCATGCCCAAGTACATATTCAACTAAATGAATATTTGGAATGCGCAGCAAGTAAACATTCAGCTCCAACTCGGCTGCCGAGTGAGAAAACACAAGTATTTTAGACGCTGAGGGCGATTTATTTTTACTTTTATTTGAATATTCATTTAGCTGTCTGAAACTAATAAGTCTCTATTTCGGTAAGTACTGTATTGATGGTTTATTTAAGTCTAGCCAATTTCAAGCTGAAAATTATATTCATCAATAGCTCAAAGTTTATTTAGGGCAAGGCGTTTACTCTAGGAAAATCGGCCTTAATTTAATGTTCTATATTTAATCACTAAGTGAGCATTAGTGCAATAATTAATAATCGGAATATATATAACAATTTTTATAACAGAATTAATACTGCATGCTTAAATATACTAAATATAAATAAATAATATTAATAATATGAAATAAATATTAAGTATACTGTCTACTAGTCCGGAATTCTCAACTGCCGCACTCTACTTTAGATAAGTCTATTACTATTTAATCATTCCTTTCATATAAATGTAGATAAATATCGGCTTGTAGAGCTGCAAATATTAAATATGTAAAGAGAGTATAGGAAGAATGTGGAAACGGTGTTGTTAAGTCGAGTATTCTCAAGCGGACAACTTTTACTACTCTAAGTGAAAGTCGAAAATAGGTCGAAAATATATATAGTTTACTTTATAAGTAATTACTTAGCTCTTAAGAAATCGATAAATATCGATTTAATTTATATATAATTATGTGTTAGATGTGATATGTATAATATATCATTTTAATATTAAATTATTAAATTAAGTTATATTAGTCGAGTTCTCTATCATAACGTGCTCTTAAAGGTTCCTTAAAAATCGATATACATATATCGATTTGCACAGCTGAATGCATAGCATAGGATACCGGATGCATAGGATGTCAGAGCTTAGATTATTTAAAGCTAAACGTAGAATGATTTTTACACGAATAGCCCCTACTAAAAAAATCTTTTCCATATATCATAATAATTCTTAAAAAAATTGATATCAGTTAACGTGTAAGAATTTATGAAAATTGATATCAGTGCATTATCTAAATTGCGTGGTCAATTTCTCAAAAATATCTATCTGATTTGTATTATCTTTTATATTATATAAATTGAATATAGAGTTTTTACTAGTCAGATTCCCCTGTGTATTGCACAGTTTATCATTGTACAACAATCGATAATTATCGATTTCTTGAACAGCTAAATATTATATAAAATCATACAATACTAGGCCTATTTATTCTTATGTCTAGGATATTTCCTTAGTCGTTCACTCATTGCCAGCGCACGTCTGTCTGTCTCTCTGTCTGGCTGCGTGTGTGTGAGTGTGCTAAGCATCAAGTTTGCAATAACTGTAGCCCAGTTTTGAAAGGGCTGGCAAATGCGAAATACGAAATGCGAAAATAGCGAGTAGCGTAAAGCAACTGGGATTTATTCACGATGCTGCCGCTGCCGCTGCTGCTGCTGCTGCTGGCATTTCGCCGGCCGTTGCGGCTGTTATTAAACACGTTTATTCTAAGTTTTCCCCAAAGCACTTTTTCATATTGCGTTCTGCCATATTTTGCGCCATGTTTTGTTGGATTGCGCAAAAATTTCAAATTAAGTTGCAGCACAGCCAGTCAAATGCCCCCACTGCCAGCCCAAGCCCAGCCCAGCCCAGCCCAGCTCAGCTTAACTCAGCCCAGTCCATTCTCTGCCCAGCCATAGTTGGATCCAGGTCTGGAGCTGTAAGTGAGCAGCTGAATTGCATCACGTACATGGGCAATTTGCCAACAGAATAATACAAAATACACACACGCACACACAGACAAGCAGGCTACATGCATGTGTGTGCGTGTGTGTGTGTGTATCTGTGTGAAGGTTGTTGAACGCTGCCCAACTAGCCAAGTGGCTGGCTGCGTAGCCTTGCCTGGCATGTTATCTTTTTTCTCAGCTTTGTTTTCTTTTTTTTTTTTTTTTTTTTTTTTTTGGCACAGGTTTCATGCTTGAGAATTTGTAAATCGCAGCGAGAAACAATGCCAAAGCATAAACTATATAAATGCGAAATATTTTATACATATATATGAGTTTCCTCTGTGTGTGTGTGTGTGTGTGTGTGTGTTTATTTGTGTTCCACTGAAAGAAACAGATTACTTTTCATCGCTTTGTCCATGCCGAGCAATTAATCTTGCTCTATATATCTTGCCTGCTCTCTCTCTCTCTCTCTATCTCTCTTTGTCTCTGCCTCTTTGCCCTTGTCGCCTTCTCTTTTGCACTTACCCACAACAATCATGTCCTCGTGACCGGAAACTGTCTGGAACGAAGGCGCCTCGCCGGACACTTCGCACCGATAGCGGCCCGTCGACTGTAGGCTGACCGAGCGCAGCACCACAGCAATGTCCGTCGAGTTCTGCAACTGCAAAGGCAGAAGGAAAAAAAACACAAACAGTCGTAGAATAAACGAGTATGTTAAAAGTAAAAGTAGAGAGAGGCCAAAGAAAAATATTGCGCTTGTCTTGGTTAGAGAAAGTGACATTCGAAACTTTGAAAGATTGCAAGTTGGCAAAATATGTCCTTTGAAAGCAAAACTAAGGAGAAAGGACGAGAAGAAAAAATATTATAATAAAAGTTCTATACTTGAGTCGTGCAATGGGAAAATGCAATTATAATTTAAATAAAAGTTTTTTAAGTCTCTACACTGTCCAACATAAATTTAATAGCTGCCTGCGTCCATAGTAGAAGTCTTAGAAATCCAAAGTAAAGAGAAAATTCGAAAAGAAAAATTAAAGAGAAATATTTAAGGCCTTCAACGGGAAAACCCAAAAACCTCTAACTATATCTAATAAAATCAATAAAAAAAAAATAATAATAATTTAAAAATAAATAAAGTCAAATATTCATATCTCGCAAGAGTACCCGTAATTTAATTTAAATACAAATTTGAAGATTTTATACACTGTTTTTCAATAGTTTTTCAATGGTAAAATAAAACTTAAGAGTGGAAAAGCAAAAAAAATATATATATATATATTATAAAATCAATTTGAAGTAAATAAATAAAAATCAAAATCAAATTAATGTCAAATATTTATATCTCGCAATGGGCAAACGCAATTTAATTTAAATAATAATTTTGAAATTCTCTACACTGTCCAACATAAACTCCACGACTGCACAGCTCATTGGATGCGTTCTTGTAGGTTGTACAACGTCATGGGATCGGCGGGGCGCTCATTTTTAAGGGCAGCGGCGTTGTCGCCATCGTCGGCATCATCATCATCCTCGAGCTCATCGTCCATGTCATCATCGTCATCATCCTCGTCGTCCTCATCAGCGCCATCGTCGTCATCGTCGTCCAGTTCCGCCGCCACCTCGGCCAATTCAGTCAGCTCCTTGTCACTGACTGGCAGGGCGCTGTCAAGGGCCGCGCCATCGAAGCTCTCCATGGCCGCGTGTAGTTTCAGTTGGCTCTCCGCGTGCATGATGTTGTGCTCCTTCTCGATCCTGCCCAGGCGCAGGCCGGCCTCGATGGGATTGCTAATCGGCTGACGCACCATCTGGGCAATCATTCCGATGGCATCTTCGTGGCTGAGTGGCGGCACACACTCCTCCAGCGTCTGCAGCAGTTTCGATTTATTCTTGGAGTACATTGAAATCGAGTCGAGTTTCCGAAATTGTTAACGAACGAATATATTTCCTGCCAGTTGACTGCTCAACGGGCTTCTCGTAATTGACTTTGACAACGCCTCACAAGGGCCGAATAGAAAAAATAAATAAACAAAAAAAAAAAAAAAAAAAAAGCATCCGCCTACTCGATGGAATTCATCGCATCCAATCCGATTAGTAAACATGGACAGACAGACTCACCTCCACATCGACGCCGGGCAGCGGAAAGACCTGTCCGGGCGGCATGTCCCGCGGCACATAGCGATAGAACTCGAACCCATCCTTGTACCACTTCACCGAGTACAGCGATTCCCCATCCAGGTCGAACTTGCAGCCCAGAACGGCGTCCTCATGTCGCATAATGTGCTTCGGTATACGAATCTCAGTCATGGTTAGGCAATCCACTAAAACGGGAGAGAGATAAGACGAGAATGAGAGTGAGAGTTAGATAAAGAGTTATTTAAAGAGAAAGACGACTCGATTAACCGGAGTGTAAATTTAAAGCTCCTTTAACAGGCATTGAAACAAAGACGTGGCAGCTCTTGGGCTCTCGGGTTCTCTGGCTTGCTCTGTGCGCCGATCAATGCCAGCACCATAAATAACTCGCAGCGAGTGCATAAAAGTCAAGGAAATCGAAAGAAATCCGCTAGTCGGGCCGAAGACAATGCGCTTTTGTTTGGCCCCACACAACACAATGCGAGCTACCCAGAGAATGAAAGCGGCCAACTTGAAGACGTGCAAAACGTGCCCAGGCTATGGAATACAGTTCAACAGAATGGGGGCTGCTGGATGGTGTATGTGGGAGGGGGGGATGGGGAATTGGTGAGGGCCTGCTGCCAAGAAGTTGTGTGCGAGACAACGAAACGAAACGAAACGAAAAGTTGTCGACTTTTAAACGTACACAAAAGGCCTGCATAGGTAGACTTAGACAATTTGGGTCAAAGTTATGGCACGAAAATCAAGATATGAAATTAATATTGCACCAAAATGAATGCTGTACAAAGGCAGCAAGAGAAAAGCCTAACAGCAGCAGCAGAAGAAAAAGCAACAGCACCGCATATAAATTCTGAAATGTTTGAAATAGTTGTTATAGCATGCCTAGAGATAAGCATAGACATTGAGTTTCTTTAGATTCTTTCTTATATGCATAATAGTCAAGTCACACAAAATATACTATTTTTGCAAATAAAATAGTATTTAGGCCTAAGAGAATCAGGGGAGATACATAGTTCTATAGATAACTATCGATACCAAACTATAGTTGACTATCGATACCTAACTATAAGGCTGTCAAAATTTAACTATAGTGTCATCTAGGCTCAGTTGAAATGTCTTTAGAAGAAACAGAATATAATTAAATTTTTAATTTTTTTTTTAGTATAAATGAAAATTATATTTAATGGCTAGCGCAAGACAGATAGCAATATTATATAATATTATATTAATATATATATTAATAGTAAATAAATAAATAAAATAAATTTTGTTAAATAATACTTATACAAATAAATATATTATATTATACTATAAATAATTCTGAGGTCCAAAAAGAAAAAAAAAATAAATAAATAAAAATAATTATTTTGAAAAATTATCAATAATAATGTTATGCAAAAAAAAACCTAAAATTCAAAAATAATTAAATAAATCAAATTAGTAAAAAGGAATTAAATTTGAAATTAAATTATTGAAATTAGAAAACAATCGAGCTGATGATTCGATGAAACCAGTATCGTATAGACCCACTATCAAACTATTTGTTGCTATAAAAATTATTTTTATAAATAATATTTTTGCAGCTTATTTAACTGAATTGTAGTAGCTCTTTTTCGCTACATTTTTAGAAAAGCTTTTACAATAATGATTTCGTTTCCCACTTTGTGATTCTGCGGAAAATTGAATTCCCCGCTCGTTTGCCCAACGACCAAGTGCTTAGCACTGACAGCTAGTCGGGAGATGACGTCATTTGCCAATATCAGGGGAATTAGATTGAGTGAAACAAGCCGCAAATAAAAGGGCAATTGAACATTGGGGAATCAACAATATTTATAGAATGCGCTTTGATGCGAGCGCTCTATAAATATTTCATAATGCGGTGCGTTGGCAGTTAGCTAAAAATAACTGAACACACACAGACATATAAGGATTTTCATTAAGCGCCAGGAAGCGGCCGCATTGAAGGCATTTGACTTTTTGTGCGGGCTTTGCCCAGCACTCGCTCTCGCCTTTGGCGGCAAAACAAACGCGCACAAAAGCTAAGCGAGCCGCACAATGCACAAAGGCAAACAGCGCGGCCATTAAAGTGCCGACGACGATGACGGCACCGGTGTGGGAGTGGAAACGGAGCAGCAGCAGAGGCAGCAGCAGAGGAAGCATCAGAGGCAGCAGCAGCAGGAGCCGAGCTGGAAGCGGCTGCAGTGCCAGCTGAGAGGCTGGCCTTTGAATGCCGCTTCCGCTTGGCGGCGACAGCGGCGTCATTTGATTGTGTATGTGTGTATGTATATGCACGTGCATGTGTGTGTCGGACACTTTGAGCCAAGTATTTATGACATAAGTATGATTTAGTATTATGCACTCTCAACTACCCAACTTTCCAACAAAGTGCGTTGTGAAAGGCGCGCAAAAGTATGCTACTCTTTGTTGAGCTCGTTTGCTGGCTAAAGGACATTTTTGGCGCATTTTCTTGGCTATTTCTTAGCAATTTGACTGTCTACTGCAATTGCTGTATTGTATTGTATATTATTTCTCGAATATCCTTGAACTTTTGCTATGTCTGGGCACATAAACAAGCATCAGAGTGCTAAGTTATTGTTTCGCCCGCGAATAAATACAATTAAGTTTTGATAGCGCTGTTTATTGAAACAATAAAGTATAAAAGTGGCTGCACATTAATTTACTTTTCATACTAGAGACTTATTTACTTAAAGTATTAAGCTCTTTGCAACTTTTAACATTGCAATGCGTGTTTACTGTGGCCGTGAATAATCCCAGCGCATTGCAATTTAAATGGCGCGTAAAAGTATGCTATATTTTTGTTGCATTCGCTCGCAAACTGGCGACACTTTGCATTAAGCATTTAATTGTTTTATTTAAAAGTTTAAAATCAGCTTCTACACACAATAAAAAAATGAAATAAAACTTTAATGAATGTTTATTATGATTGAAAAAATATTTTGTTCTATTGAAGCTTCAGTTTTTCATTGTCTAATGTAGAATTAGCCCAGATTCATGGTCAAACTTCGCTTTCTGTTGAACCTTTAACAATTTTTAATGAAAATATTCTTATTCTTCTTTTCTTCCACTCCTCTTGCTCGACTCCAATTAAACATCGTACAAATGTCAGCCACCCAACAGGGAAATTTAATCTAATCAGCTTTTCTGTTGTCGCTTTTGATTTAATAATAAATTTGACAAGTGCCAGGTGAGGCAGTCGTGACGACAAGTCAACTGAAGCTACCGTACGGGGTCAACTTGACTAATTATTGAGACAGCAACAGACAAGCAACACTATGCAACATGGAAAGTTTTTGTCATCTAACGCGGTGCTTAATTAAGGAGTGCCGTAACCGTAGGGGTTTTCTGGGGAACGCGGGTGCAGTGGATTATTCACTGGAAATGTTTTCCATTTGATGTCGTGTAAATGCCAGAGTTACGATCTAATCACGACGACCTTACTGAAGCTGGAGCTAAAATTGAAGTTGAGGAAAAGTTTCGTGTTTTATTATTGTTGATTTTAAATGATTAAATTTACGGCCCGCAGCCAAATGCCAAACGCAGGCAAAATCAAATAGAATCAAGCGAGAATATGAATGCGAATGTAGCAAGCGTCAGCAGCAGTCGCCGATACGCAAACAGTTATTTGTTTTGAATATTAAATCGAATATTTTAGCATACTTTGAATGGCTAGAGGAAACCAGTCGAGTCACGCTTTAAGTTCTCGCACTGCAAGAGGTCAAACTTTCAACTAATTGGTGTCATTGCTGTTGTTTGGATTTGCATAGCTATGACAGGCTGGAATATGAATATAGAATTTATGATAAACTTGAGAGCCATAAACGTAATGCAGCTGAGATGATAATTTAGATTGATTTGGTGGTCGGACCGAAGCGTTGGGCCGGATGCAAAGCCTTGAGGAAATACACAGCTATATATGTATATATATATGTATTTATGTATATGTGTATGTGTATAATAGCGCGACGCCTGCAGCATCAATACGCATCAATTTAGAGCCCTGGCAGGCGTTCAGGCGCCGGCCGAGGCAGACGCCTGAAACGTGCTTAATCTGCAATCAGAGGCGGAAGTTTGTCTCAGTCTCCAGCGACAGGAACAGCAACAACAAAAACGAGGACAAGCTGTCCATTGTCTATGTTTCAGTCGGTGAGCCAGTCTATGTCTCTGTGTGTGTATGTGTGTGTGTGTGTATGTGTTTATCTCTCTGTCAGGCTGGTTTTCTTTGACGATGAGTGCGTTCCGTTGTTGTTGGTGTTGCTGTTGCTGTTGCTGTTATTATTGCAGTTGTTGCTGTAAGTGGAGCACGTTCCTCGTCGCTTTGCTGCATTGCAGGCGCACTTGCATTTGCATATTTGCAGGCAGCCGTCGAGAAAAGTTTGTCATCGATTTGCAGGCAGCTTATGAAAATGGCCAAAGCCAGCGACTTAAACACAGCCACACAATACAAAAAACCACAAAGCAAGTAACAATGCAGCGCAGTTATGTTTGTCATTTTCCGTTGCCTGGAACAGGAGGGAGGAGGGCGGGCGGCCTTATGAATGCCTGACCTGCTGCATTATGCGCTGCCTAAGCAAATGACTGAACAGCGCATTTCATTTGTGGCTATTCCCTGGACACATTAATTAATAGAGTGCTCCTAATTAATATAAATTATAATAGCAATGCCCAAAAGGCTTAATGATGCTTGGCTCATGTGAAATTGGGCAGAAAATAAATCAGGGCAGCTGTAGCAATAAACTGAATTGATCATTGTCAACTGACCTGTTGGCCAAATACAACAGAGCCTATTTTCTTTAATTAGTATATCAATTAAAGAGCACTCACACACACACACACACACACACATATCTTGGCATGCAACAGCTGTAATAATACAATTAAAATTCATTTCGACTTTTGCACTGGCTGTGGGCAAAAGCCCAGCTCAACTCTCAGTTCCACTCATAACAATAGTCAGCCAAACGCCATCGATTAATTCAATTAAATTGAAAACATCAATTTTACGTTTGATGATTAATTACATGTCCAGCTAGTGCAGTCGGACTCTTTGGAAACGTTTGACACACGTCTGTGTGGCAAAGTGGCAAAGTTTAAATTATAGTTACATGCTCTCGGGCGCTAATTAGCAGCAGCCAGCCACAGTGAAGCTTGTCATAGCAAACCCAATTAATTTGACTAAATTCTTGTAATTGATTAAGCTAATTTATCAATATGCTTGTTAACAATCTGTCGCATTTTGCCATCGGCTTTGCTTTAATACAGTTCGGCGTGTCCTTTGGCATTAGTTTCATGTGCTGCCAATAAATTTGTGTTTCCTTTGCCGAAGCTCGTTTGCCGTTATACTGTTATGCTGCTAGCCACGTTTGCTTAATTCTATTATTCTTGCTCACTCCTCAACACTCTGCACATTTTTTTTTTTTTTTTTTTTTTTTTTTTTTGTTGGCTCTCTGGACATGCGTACGTGACCACGTAATAACTGTAAGTAAGATTTTTATCTATAATTCAGTGAACGCGCTTTCCGACGCAATTAAGTGGCCCGGTCGCAATAATCATTTTCATTCCAATTTTCTTTGCTAGCTGTCTAGACGCGACTCTATATGTCAGTCAGGGAGAGAGAAAAAAAAAACATACTCTGAGTGAGTTGCCAAACAGCTAAAACATTTGCTTTGACAACTGCAAGGCAAAGGCAAAGGCAAAAAAAAAAAAAAAAAAAAAATTAATATTGCGTGGAAAAAGTTACGCACTTTTATTTATTTAATTAAATGCTGCGGCGGCCAAACTTTTGCCAAAGTGCTCGAAAAACTAACAAACCAGGCAGAGCGATTCACTTAATTAAGTGTTTCACGAAAAAAAAAAAAAAAAAAAAAAAACTGTAATAAGAAATATGAAATGAAGAACCGTTTTGGGGCAAATGGAAGCCATTAGGCCTTAAAGCGCACAGCCCGCATTGCGTATACGTCACGTATAAAGAAACGTATAAAACAGGTCTTAATTTATATTATAATGTAAAGGAATTATTTTTAATAACTTGTACAATTTTTTAAATAAGTAAAAAATCTGGAAATACAAATTGCCTTAAACTAGTTTTTAATTTATTTAATAATTTGTGTTCTCAATTAAATGATAATCTGAGAATCGTTTGTTCAAGTCCTTTCAGCAATACGATTAAAAGAATCAAACCTTGCCTTTCATATATGTTTCAATTAAAATATAAGCTATAGACGAGTACGAAAGTTATATCAAAAAATCTAATTGGGTATGAAAAAATATCAAAGTCAAAGCAAAGCTTTATGAATAGAAGTAAATATATAAGTTTAAGCACAATAAGCTATTATTATTACTTATACATCACATATACTTATACATCATACTCATACATATACAGCACATGGCTTGAACATGAATAATTTGTAATTAATTTAAAGGCACTGCCATTCCACTCCCTGCCAGCTCTTAGATAATGAAATGTTCCGTCTTCCTACACCGAAAATGAAATGACATTCTCAAATTTGCGACCCCGAAATTCACTCGGTTTCAATGCCAATCGAATTGGCAGGCTTTATGGCCCAGTTGGCAGTTAATGTTGTTTATATTTTCAAGTAGTTTGATGAACTTAATTAAAAATAAGTAAGGCAAAGTTCAGATTAATGCGTCAAGTCGGTCGCCGAAACGGAACGAAGGTCCTGAAGAGGGTTAAAACATGCCACAAAGTTTATCGTTTGCCAATGTCTGCTGAGATTTGCGCCGGATTCGAAGAATCTCAATGGCTCTGGCTCTGGCTGTGGCTGAGACTTTGGCTCTGGCTCTGACTCTGACTCTGACTCTGGATGTGGCTCTGGCTGTGGCTCTGTCAACTGTCAAAGTTATTTGGCGTAGCGCGCCGAGCGCAGGCCTTAAATCGATTAAGTGCTCGTAAGCAAAGTATCAGCATGCGGCAGCATATGCTCTTAGAGGCCGTCAAATTGTGGTCTGGCACAAACTAATATTGTTGGCTAAAATATTTGCCCGCACGCCCAGCCACCCCATCCGCTCCCAATGGGCGTGGCGACAAAAAAGCCAAAACTTCTGGGCCAATTTTTGTGCACAGCGCGTTTGTTGTTGGTGACGTTGGCGTTGGCGCTGGCGTTGCCGTTGCCGTTGCCGTTCGCCAAAGTTGCTAATAAATTAAATAAACATTCGGCAACCCCCTCGACTACTCACCCGCAGGACTCAGCAGTGCCAGCAGAGGAAGCAGCAGCAGCAGCGGGCTGCACGTTGTATAGCAGGAGGCGGCGGACCAGCAGCCGGCGCTCAGTTGCAGGCAACGGCCACGTCGTCGTCTATTCAAAGTTGCACCCATTTTGTTGCATTAATGTGTTCCGTAGCTCCACTCTCCCTGTATACCCCTCCCTCTACCGCTCTCTCTCCTGCTCCCTCTCTGCTGCTGTTGGCAGTGTACTTATTTTGGTTTCTCTTCTTTTGGTGGCTGTTTGTAACACTTTTGGCCAAGTTGCTTCTTTCGTCGGTTGTTGCTTGACGCTGGCGCTGGTGAAACTTTAATTTTTCAATTTGTTGCGGAATTTTTTTCGGTTATTTTTCTTTCGCCACAATTCGGGGCACGCAGCTAGTGTATATGTGTGTGTATGTTTTTTTTTTTTTGTTCTCTATTTTCTTTCACTTTTTCTTCTTTGACTGCTTTTACTGGTGTTTGCTTTGCGTTTTAGTTTTGCTGTCGTCGTTGTTGTTGTTGTCTCATTTGCGCATTGCAATAAATTTCCCTTGACCGCCAACGAGGAAACGCGTCACCCAGCCCAGGATCCAATGTCCTGCTCCTGCTCCTGCTCCTGCTCCTCCTTCTGCTGCTCCCTTTCTTTACTTCCTTTGGCTGCTCTTAGCTGTGGCCTGCGTTTTGTCGTTTGGTATTTATTTTTATTTTCCACGCGCTCGTTGCTATTTGCTCTTCTTATTAGGCGCTCTATGCACATACACACACACAGACAGAGGCATGGACACACACTCACAAATACACCTTCCCAGTTACAGCTACAGTTACATTTACATTTACATGCGTCTTGCCAGTGTTTGTTCAGCAATTTGCGTTCGTCTGTTATTTGCCAGCGTTTGTCTTTGCTTCCTTTTTCATTACAGTTTTCCCTGCTGCTGTTGTTTTTGTTGTTGCTAATGCGTGCGGTTAAATTAATTGAAGCATCGTCAAAAAATTACAATTTTCACATTTCCAGGAAAATCGCATATGGCAACGGGCTCAAAGCCAAAGTCGTAGAATTTGAGAGCTGCAAGGAAAGAGAATTCAGAGTCATTTCATGACATGCGCTTCGTATTATGTTATTAAGATTAGGGAAAGAGGTTTGGAGTATTTTATTTAATATATTTGTGGGGGCTGTCGAGCAATTAATACGAGTGTTAAAGGAAAGTTCTGTGTGGATATGTAGAATGTTCTTTATAGAAATATTTTAATGGCTTGACAAACAAGGAAAACTGAAATGTTATCTGTATTTTTGAAGTATGATTAAGATGACAATTCAAGCTTGATATCTTGCAGCAGCTCATCATATTATGTTTTCAGTTGATAAAATTTATGACAGACGTATATAGCTATAGGGATCAAGCTCTTCAACTGAGATATATTCAAAGAATAACTCTTACAGCAGAGAACAATGTTTGCCAATTGGTTTATTATACAATATTATATTGATATCTCGATAGCTTGAAAAAAAAAAAAAGAAACGAATTGTAATATGGCCAAAAAATTCAAGCTCTTGATATTATTTAAACAAATTTCAGGTGAAATCCTTATTATTTGGCAAATCAACATGATCTTAATCGTCAACATATAAATTTTTTTATTTCTTATTTTTTTTATATATCTGGTATATCATATATTTGGTTACCAAATTTTGGTATGAGGCCTTATGTCTATATTGTATACATTTCTGAATCTAAAGCTCGCAGATTTATAAGGTTTGGTGATGTTAAGAATAATGATCATATAATAATATACGATTTATGTTTTTAAAGATGTTTTTTACAGGCGCCTTCAGGAATAAAAAAAATTTAAAGGATATTTACTTGGTATCATAGCCAGAGACAAGAAAATACAAGCACTTCTTCAGTTTGCTTGATGCTGAATAGAAATCTATGAGAGCTTCGGCAGCAGAGCTGGAAGTTTTTAGCCATTCTAGAAGACTTTACAACACATTGAATATTACCGAAATAAGAACTATGAGAGTTCTACTCTACTACCGATTGCACTATCCTTTATTCTAAACAATATCATGCTCGAATATCGCATACAGAGAAAAACATCTGAACGTAACATAATTTTGTATTCTGATGTCTTCTCATGAATACTGAATATCAATTATACAAATTTCAAATGAATATATTTAATACTGACAAAATTCACTTAAAATATTGCAGCTCGTAATTCGATATCTAATCGCAGCTAAGACATCAATTGACTGTAGAATTTAATTAATGAGTGGCATACCCACACACACACACACACACACACACTGCATTCAATGGCAATTAAAGTGTATTGTTGTGACTGAACAAGCTTTGCTTAGCTGGCGACTAATTCGACTGCTATGATACCAAACTCAATTAAGCTGCTCAAGAACCGAATGACAAGCTCACGCACATAAATTAATAATATTTGTTCGCAAATCTCAAAGTCTCAAAAGCGAGATATGACTAGAGCTCGGCATTTGTTTTGTTTGCGTCTACTCGGTTGAAATTTCATTTACATAAAATCAATTAAACAAACATAAGAAATCGCACACACACAGAGAAAGAGAGAGAGATAGATAGATAGAGAGAGAGAGAGGGAGAGAGAGACACCGTGACAGAGGCTGAATAAACTTTTCAAATGAAATCATGTTATGTAATTAGAGGCCATGAATAATTTTAGCACCTTGTTGTCAGCTATTTAAGCCAAGATTCACGCACATGCCAGCCGATGGAGTGGCTTATGCAAAATAGTTGTTGGACCACGGTGCGAGGCAAGGCTTGGCATGGCTCAGGGTGTATATATATGTACAACTAAGTAACATGGAATACCACGAGCCATTTACATAGTCAAGTTCTGTTTTTCTCAGCCTTTTGCATAATTAATTATGTGGCCAGAATGGCGACGCTTTGTTAAATATGCAAATAACCGAAGCGACAGCTCTAAGAATAGGACACAAGACGAAGGACACACAGCTGCACAGAGGTCACTCACATGCGCTGGTGGGTGCTCCTGCTGCTCCTGCTGCTCGCGGGTGCTGCCTTGGCAAGCGTCTTAATTAAATTAAATTACCCATACGCCACGTGGGTCACAGTTCATATTTTAAATTTTGTTTAAAGTCATGAGAACGGAAAAGCCAAGCAGCCATATTTCGATTGCCGTGTTCAATGCCATGCTGCAAACAAAGGCATCCACAATTCAAGCACTTCCACACACACACACAGATTCACACACACACACACGCACCGCCTAAATGCGTGCTGCTATGTAGGCCAAGCTCGGCTGTGTGCCGACTGAGGCAATGAGCGCTTGAGTGACTAAATGACTGTCTGACTGAGTGACAAACCTACTGACTGACTGACTGACTGACTGAGCCAGGCCATTTATTTTTGCCTGCCTCTGTGTGTGTGGCCATGGCCACTGATGTCCCTTTCGCAGGCATTTGAGCCTGCCATTGCTTTAAAATGTTTGCTTGAGCTGCTACACAAAAGAAATGCTTCGAATTTAAATACTTAATACAGACGAAAGCATATTTAAGGAACCAACAGGCTTAGTCGATTAAATATAGATTTCATATGTATTTAAATATTGACAAAAGAATATAATTTTTGTAAATGGATGCAAAGTTTTCTATCTTTGTAAAATTTTTTAGCCACACTATAAGCACATAGCTGTGGTGCTTAGGAATTTATTTTATGATTTTTTTCTACCAAAGGCAACCGTATCTAACGTTAAGAATTTTTATTTACTGCAAAAATAAATAAATAAAGACAAAATTAAAGAAATTTGATTGAAAGCCTAAAATACTTTATTAAATTTATTTTGAGCTAGATGTTAAAAAAAAAAAAAATCAATAATTTAATAGTTTAGAAACATAATGTTATTATTATTATTATTAATATTATTTAAATCTAGAAAAATGAGAAAAAAAAAAGAATAAAATGATTAATTATATGATATGTAAATTATTAAAAAATATTATATATACGCCTTCCTTAATATTATTATTATTATTATTATTATTTTAAATTATATAAATATTTTTACTTATATTTTGCCTTTTATTATTAAGTTTGATTTTTTACTTTTATTAATTTACTTTATTTTTTTTTTAAATTTATATTTATAGTTTTTAAATTAATATTTATATCTAACATATATATCTATATGTAATATATAGAAAATATACATAAATAAAAATATATTTTAAAAATACATATGAGGCGCTTTTATTTTATTTTTTTTTGCAATAATAATTTTAACTACTAAAGTAATAATAAATGTCATTATTTTCAATTATAGGTAACTCTTAGACATGGTCAAACTCTATTGTCACCCTTCTCAACTATGTAATTAATTTAAAAATGTAAACCAAAATATGCCATCTCTTCACTTCAATAAAAAGGCAAACTTTTCATTTACTTTAAGCTACCTTAAATATATTTCCCAGCGTACTATTTAATTGGGCCCATAAATGGCCGCAATTCGGGGCTAGATAAATGGGCCGTGTTTTCTGGCCGTTTTATAGCTAGAATTTCATAATTATTGTAATTTATGTTTGACACCTGAGGCGCGCCCACTACGCATAAAAGTTTTGCAGAAATTTGTAACGAAAAAACCAAAATAAAAAAAAAAAGTAAAAGAAAAAAAATGGTGCAGAGCATCCTGGCCAGCAGAGTGACCCCCTCAAGGGAAATATGGCTTAAGTTGTGCGACTCACTCGAATGCTCACTTGCTGACTGTTGTTGTTGTTGTTGTTGCTGCTTCTTCACCTATTGCTGTTGCTGTTATTGTTGCGTCTTATTATGCTTTGTGGCCAGGAAGTCGCCGATGTTGGCAATGAAAAGGCAGCTTTGCCTCTGAGCCGCTGCCGGCAATTGGCATATTTTTTGTTTGTTTCGGCTTATTGAGTAGTTGGGGCTGTTCGCTTCCCCAGTTCACTGTTGGCCTTGTCTGCCAAGTTAGAGTTGACGCGAAGTGTTTCGAGCGCTGGCCACGTGCGTTTAGAATAATAACAAATTATTAGTTGTCACGCACGTAACGGTACTTTCATTCATAATTTATGCATTTTAATTTGTCAAACGACGAGCCAGCAACAACACGTGAATGTGAATGCCACTCGGGATTGTTTTTTTTTTTTTTCTTTTCTATTTTTTGTTTTTCTTTTTACTTAATGCAGTGCTTCACTCACGGAGTTCTTATTACGTGTTTCAGTTTAGTTTTCGTTTTAGTTTTTGTTTTAGTTTTGTTTTTGCCCCATCATATGCACACACACCTAATTTAGCCTTTTCACTGCTAATTCACACACGCACACCCGCACACACTCTCGCACACACGCTCATGCTGAGACACTGGGAATCGTAGTCGTTGTTGTCGTTGTCGTCGCTTCTGCCGTCGTCGCTTCTTCTGTCGGTCTTCGCAGCGCCTGTCGTCGTCTCAACCACACAGCACCAATAACCGAGCAAGACTAAAAGCTTTGCTCTCCTCATTACCTGGTTTTCCACTTGGGCCGCACGCACGACTTTCAGCCGAACGGATGTGGGGCTAAGAAAAGCCGAGCCAACTTGCCCAAAAACTGCAAATATATATACATATACATATACAAACATATATGTGTGTGCTCGCATCCAAAACTCTGTTTCGCGTTGTCTGAGGTTGCGAAAGCGCACGCAACGAGCAAGTGAGCGAGACAGCTGCCGAGCGTGAGAGAGATGCCAGATGCCAGATGAAGAGAGAGAGTGCGCTCGATTGAGCGAATTTGCACGAAGCGAAGGTCGTTTCAGCTGTGCTCGGCTTTGGTCTGACTCTGTCTGTGTGTGTGTGTGTGTGGAGAGGCGACTTGCTTTCTCTCTTATATTTCAATTCCATTTTGTTTCATTGCCGTTAGTAGCTCTTTGGCTGTTAGGTTTTGAAAAATAGTGGGAAATTATTAATATATATGAAGATAGTAGTATAAGTTTCTTATTAAAATTTAATATAAAAATATATATATATTATTAAATTAAGTAATTTTATATAAATAATAGGTTAAATCTTGAAAATTATAAATTTAATTTGCAATTCGAATATATCATTTTTGCTCTATTATATACATGTTGTTTATATTACATTATATTAAATATATTATATTCAATCATATTATTTGATACTAATCATAATATTAATCTAAAAAAGTTTAATTATTTAATTTATTATTTATGTAATTTTTGTTATGTATATTTCCTTTAAACCAGCATTAAATCTAGCTTCCGTATTCATAAAAATATTCTTTAAGCATTATAATCCTGATTATAGCGTGTAGTACGAATCTCCATTAATATCACATTCTCTAAGTCTATCAGCCTGCAATTTAAAGCGCATTGCTTCCATTTGCATAGAGACATGAGCTCATCATAAACAGCAGCAATAAATAATGCATCATTGTATCTCATTAAATACAATTCATTGACTGCTTAGCTCAGAGCAATCGGCTTTCAATTTCAGCAAACAAACAATGGCTACAAATAACAACTCGACTGCTCTTCAAATACTTATTGAGCATTAAATGTCCACATTGGCAGATATATTGTAGTTGCATGCACTAAAACAGCAACAATAACAGCAATAACAACAACAACAATACGCACGCATCATTAGGGCAAACAAAAAGCAAAAGTGCTGACTGCTGGCGAGTGAATTCAAAACTTGGCCAAAACTAAACTCGGCCAGTTGCTATTGCCCGTGGGAGTTGGCGAATTCGATAGTTGAGGTTGAGGCAGGCAGCATCGGCTCATTGACAGTCATAATGCTGAAATGCGCCTCGAACTTGAGTGCCATTTGGGACGTAGACAGAGAGTGTGTGAGAGAGAGAGAACGAGTGAGTAAGAGAGATAGAGGGAGACAAGGAGTTGAATTAAGAATTTGCACTTTTACTTAAGCGAAAAAGTTTGCCTCGCCAGGTTGCAATGTGAGCTAATTTGGGCAATTTGAGAGCAGCAGCAAAGAAAGAGACAGACATTGAAAGAGTGAGACAGAGAGAGAGAGAGAGAGAGAGAGAGAGAGAGAGAGAGAGAGTGAACGTGTGGCGAATTAACGAAAATTGATTGCGTCAACTTTTTCAATACGCACTTCGAGGCTCATATGTATGTGTGTGTGTGTGTGTGTGTGTTGTCTCTTTGTCTCTGTGTTTTGTTTCAGTTTGTTTGCAAATTGCATAAAGTTGATTATCGAATTGCGTTGAGCTCGTAGGCAATACGTGTCGTCCTTTGAGGCAGCTGAGATTCGTTTAAGGCCATGCAACTCGTAGCTAATTGGCGTACGTATTGCCGTATTCATGAACTGATTGAATCTCTGGCGCTTCACACAGGCTTCATTATTTAACATTTCAATTAGAAGCGGCGTAAGAGTCTCGAGAGACGAAGGCATTTCAAAATCAAATTTGTACTCTTGGCTTATTTCGGGCAGATCAGACAAGACAATGGGTGCTAGCAGACATACACACACACACACACACACACACTCATACATACAGACAGTGTCTGACTGTGGATAGCCATCAACGGATTTTAGCCAGTTGCAGCTATTTAGCATGTAAATGTGAGCCACTGGCAAATAGTGTGACACCAAGCCCCCTCCCAGCTGCCCTCTGCCCCCTTTAAGCTCAAGTCGCATCTATTTTGCATACAAATTACTTTTCTTTATGTTTTTGCCCCAACTCTCTCGCTCTCACTCTGTCTGCTGGCTGCTTCTGTTGCTGTTGCTTCAGCTTCTGCTCCAGCTTCAGCTTCAGCTGCCTACAAAATAATTTAAATGTTTCATTTGATTACAAATTGTGTGCTCTTGACTAAAACTGACTTCCAGTTTAATTGCGTCTCACTGGCTAGATAAAAATATGCATTTTAGTAGATCAGCAGATAAACAGAGCATAAACTAACACAAATAACGAAACGGAGAGTGTGAGCTCAGATATTTTGACATTTTTAATAACCAATTTTTATATTAATTTACAAGACTGCATAATTTATGTTTGTTTTTCTCACAAACTCTATTTTCGTTTATATAATTTCAGCCAAGTCAGCGGCAAGTATTAATAGTTCTTCATCGACTAAAAATAGCTGGCCCTCGTAAGTATGCTATAGTTTTTTTAATAGCCCAAATTTCTCTTTGTCTTGCTCTCTCGCTGAACACAATTGAAAGTGTTGGCGTCTGGACATGGACACACACACACACATTAGCACAAGCACCCATTCGCACACACACACACACACATGTACACACGCATACACCCACACACCGCACATCCACTCAACAAGGAAGTCGGTCATCGGGTTCACAAAACGCAGGCAGAGCACGCTCACACTTTTGTTCATGTTTATTATAACGGAGGCAAAAAACAAGAAGAGCATAGCACGCACACGAGCACACATCACATTCACGCCCAGTAAAACACCCGCTTGGCGCAGGCGACAATTGTTTCAGAAAAGAGTTTTCTAAGTTTGCTAGAAGAGCTGTATTATATATTCTATATGAAAAATATAAATAAAATCTAAAATCGATCAAAGACTTTCATGAATTTTAACTAAAAAAAACTAAAATATATTTTTCACTTAAAACGCTTTTGAAACTTTTGTCGGCATTGACTAAATGCAGGCTGTGTGCATGTCCGGATGATGATTACTGTGGCATATGTATAAGTGTGTGCGTATGTGTGTGTGTGTGGAAAGTCATTGCACGCTGTCGTCTAATGATTACAGACATATTATTACTTGACACAGACGACTCGAAGGGGCGTGGCAGACAGACAGAACGCCAGCGAAACAATGCAAGAATTTTTCTATTTTTCACTGCAATTATCGTTGGCTTTATGATGTGTAAATGATGGTCTTATTACTCCATATACTCCTGCGTGCCTGCATAACTCGAAGTATATATATATGTGTGTGTGTGTGTGTGTGTGTGAGGGAGGAAACATAAAATTGCCATAAAAATAACATTAGATGCCTCGCGGGATTCGCTCATCAGAGAAAAACAATGCGACAGTTGAGTCGAGCTAGAGAGAAGTTTCTATCACTCACTTTCTCTCGCATTCTCATTCCCCCTCTCACTCTTCCCCTCTCTCACCCACTCCCATTATTGTTTTTAGAGAACTTCCAGTGTGCCACGATTATGTGCTTGCATTGTGCGGGTTTTTGCTACGCTCGAGCGCTCTAATCAATGTGCACCACTGATTAATGTGGAGCATTCGGCAATGCGCACCACAATTGCACGGTTTACAGTACAGTTTGTGCCGCCTATTTATTAGCTTGCGGCCAGGGCCATAATACTCCGGCATTCCAATGCATTGCCCTCAATGAATAATTAAGCGGTTTGCACACATTCATCAGCGTTACACACACACACACACACACACACACTCACACACGCACCACTCAGCCCGCCCACTGCACCACACACGCAGCAACCACAGCGTCTTTAATTTAAGCAAGGACTCGCTGGCTGTCTGGATGCCTTGCTTGGGTATTCTATTCATTCATTCATTCACTTTTCGCAGCTCTTCACGTGTCTCTGTGTGTGTGTGTGTGTGTGTGTACGTCTTGGGACATTGCGTATACGACGCATCAGCCGACTGTGAACTCTAATGAAATGCCATCTAATTTATAGAACGTGGCGCAAATTATTCAACTGCTGTCCGGCAGGCGTAACACATTTCGTCACGTTCACCGAATGTAGACATAAAATAAATATGAAAATATGAAAATATAAAAAGCGAAAACAAAAAACGAAAAACGAACACAAAACGCAAAGAGCATCAATGTTTTCCATTTGCCTTCCTCTATTTGCGTGTATTTTTAATTTATTTGCATTTGCTCATTGAAATGCTGCACAAATATCACGCCCACTACCACGACCAGGACTACGGCCACGCCCTCTTCAAATGCCAGAAGCTACCCAAAAATAAATGACAATTTATGGCTGTCATTTTTATATATGCGATATATTCGACCAGGCACCCAAAAAGCACACGCACACACACACACACACAATAATAATAATAAAAAAATAAAGGCGACCAAAAAAAAAAAAAAGAAAATTGGTGGGAAATATATAAAATAAAAATATTAAACGAATTTTAACATGCAACTTTTACCTACACCCGAGCGCCGTCCGTCATAAATTCTCGTTATACAATTTAAAACATTTGCTAAACACGCATTTCCTGCCCGCCTCATGGCATAAATTTACGTCTATTTTTTCTGCTTCTTCTTCATCTACGTACATTTACCAACTGCCCAATGGCCAGAGTGGGCCAGCTATCCTGTGGATAGGAATTGACTGGAATTGCCTCTCGCATTCGCACAGATAAAATTGTCAATGTTTGATGAATGCGTATCGAAATGTATAAACACATAAATGAAAATATATTTGTGCAGCGTTTGGCGTTCACTTTTTATTCCACAATCAAATAAAACGGAAGCGACAAAATTCATAAATACAT